TTTAATTCATGTTAAAATCTATAACTTTCATCTTCTGAAAGTAGAAGATTCTTGAATATAATCAGCAGGTGAAAATCTAGAGTATGGTCTTCGATGGGTAAAGTAAAAGAAACTTCAACTATCAGCAGTATAAGCCTGTTTGCTGTATCCTAATTAAAAAAAATATGTTAACCAATAGACAAAATTACAAACTGTACCTTTTTTAAAGTAAGAAAAAAGTCAAGATATTTTTTCTTTTGTTATATATATAGAATGTTTCCCCTCCTAGGAATCAACTTAGCCCTCACTGATCATATATGATTTCTAACATTGCACTGATCAAAAAGGTCCTTAGGGGAACAAAGGAAAAATTAAAAAACCACCTTTTATTAAGAAAAGAAGATTGCTACTTTCACATTTCCATACTGATTTTTAAACATCTGTTATTTTTGGCCGGTTTCCTGACCCCTACAGCATCACGAGCGTGCTTTGTTTGCTCAGATGGAAGAAAACAGGCGAATGAAGGCAGGTCCTACCACCCCAGGAAGGCTGACCTAGGTGTGAAGCCTTCCGCCACTATTATTGCAGCGTCAAGACAGCTTTGAATTCTCAATATTAAAAAGAAACAATAAAACAAGATAAAGAGGTTAGGGATGTCTTTTTGCAGTCTGATGATAAAACTCATAAATGATCATTTTAGGTAGCAAGATAGGAACAACTCATTTCAAAAAGGATTCAATCTAAGAAGATGAGGTGAGTAAACATTTAACTCCGGCTTAATAATATGAAATAAAAAATTACACAGAGTTGTTAGTTAAATTTCTTGGCAAAACACTTACGTTTAACATGGCAAGACTCTAGCTAGTCTAGCTGGCTCTGTGTGACTGGTTTTCTTAAATGTCACAAAAATCCCTACCCATGGAAAACTCATGCTAGCTTCTGAAAAGACCCACCAGGTTTCCTTGAATCATCACAGGCACTGAGCTCTAAGCCTTTCCTTTAACACCGGACCCTCTGCCGGCGACATCGCCGAGTGCCGATTGAGCGTTTCCCTAGGTACAGCTTGACTTTGTCACGGTTCTACGTCTGTCACACTAACTTCGCCGAGAGAGCGCACAGTCAGCACTGCACAATGCTGGGTCATCAGAGAGACTGCTTGGGAAGCCAGTGTAAGGCTGGGATCCTTATGCTGGAAGGCAGAGATCAATTTTTATCAAGCACTTTCCAAAACACCTGGTGCATTTCTACCAGAATCCGTTCTGGACTCTTCTGGGAAGAGAAATAAATTAGTAGCTTACAAACAGGGTGATCTCCATAGAAGAGTATTCTTTTTTTTCTGAGAAACTTTCCAAAAGGGTAACCATTAAAAGAAAAATAAAGGCTGTCTCTACTTCTGTAAAAGTATGCCAAAGAGGAGGATGAGGTACCTTTTTCCAAAACCACAAAATTCAAAACTCACATTTAGAAAACAAAGAATATCCTAATATTAAATGGAGAACAAAATGGCAGCACCCTTTGTGTCCTTGGTTTCTCATGTCATCCGTCTTATTTATTTTACAAAACAAGACAAAAGCCCAAGTGAGTCTAAGGCTAGCCTTGATTCCTGCTAACCAGCTTATTGTTTAGTGCAGTAACAGTCTGCTAAAGACTCTACTAAATAAATATAGCAGCTACGATATTATAAACGTATGGTCCTCAATGCCAGTAACAGTCCTGTCAAACAGACGGACCGATCAGCACTTTACAAAGACATATTTGCCATCAAGAATAGACATTAAACCCCCAAACCTTTTCACAAGAAAGCCAATTAAACTAGTTGCTGTGACTAATGGTTTAAAGACACTTATATAAGTAGAAATATAGATAAAAATTTAGCGTTCATTACGCAGATAGGGGAAAGAGCAGAAAGGTCCTTGTGAGTTTAAAGAACTTTACATTTAAAAAAGTGTTCTTTTTAAATAAATTTGAAAAAAAGACCACATATCTATACCAGAAGTGCAAAAATAACTGAAGTAAATTTCAAAAAGTATTGGCCACTTAGCCTTTATTTTACAATTCTAAGCACAGGTTTCTTGTCATTACATCTGATATACTAATTTCTCAATAAGCAGAACAGAAACACACTAGAGTCTTCCAAGGTAGCTGGCTTAAACCCGCAGAGCTGACTAGTGTAGACAGCACTCTGCCCCGCACGCTAAAGGCAAAGCTGCCTGTTTAAAATGTGCGTATTTCCGCTTCTAAAAGTCCTTCCAAGTAGGCGGAAGGTAAGGGCTTCGCTTCACGCATCCCAGGGAAGGAGTCGTAGGGAGAGCACTAAATAAGGAGAGGGCACTTATAGCGCTTCTCTGGGCCTGGAAGCTCCCACTGAATCTGGGCAGCTCTGGCTGACGAGGCAAGACACGCTCCCCGCGCTGGCCAACGAGGGAGTTCTTCTCTTCTGGAAACACACACCTCACTGCCCTCCCTTCGATCCTGACCTGCAGGGACCCTGAGGTTCAGAAGGGAGCTGCAGCATGGCGCTTCCAAGGTGGAAATCTTTATGGAAGCAAACTTCCGTGACCTTTTTCCTGCAAAACTGCTGGTGGGTTCGAACTGCCAACCTTTCGGTTAGTGCTTGACTATGTGGCACCAAGGCTCTTGTTTGCTGACTTGGGGATTCCATGTCCTCTTGCTTATCATCCTGATTACAATTAGTGAAATCCCAACATCGAAAACACAACAAAGCATGTTTTATAGGAATCGGTTTGCTGTGGAAGGGAAAAGGAGGGTGAAAACATGCATATACCATACAAATATTATCTATGTAAAGTGCTTTGACATCGTGTTGTAAACTGCATTTCAGACACGTCACTATAATAAACATACAAAGTACAGTACTTTCTCAGCTTTCTGGCAGAGCAACAAAAGATTTCATGCCTACTAGAGGACATGGCTCAGATTTTAGGCTCAAAATACAGTAAATTGGCATTAATCGTGGATTACAGGTAAGAGAAATTAAAGGGTTAAGTCCATTACTTTTCACGCACAGATGGAATTAGGAATGGCTAATCACAATGCCCGCTAGAAACAACGTGTAGTATCTATGCTGTGAATGAGTGCAAAAACAAAAACAGAAAGTCAAAATGTAATTATGAGTTACAAGTGCAAAGCTCCCCTGAATCCAATGTCGCAGATCCATTCGGCTTTGGCAGTTCATGGTGCCTTCCATAGCTCAGAGTGGAGTCACCCAAAGTTTCATAAAACGTTCTTCCACACTCCAGTGATTTAACTCATTTAAAAGCATGGAAGTGCTCATTTCCTTTTTGTCACCAACACTTGAATTTAAAAAGGAAAGTTACACTGGTGGTAAATCAGCAAATATCACCTCACATTTCCTTGATTCATTTTGGTAAATAAGAATGGGCACTCAGCCAGTGAGATTAGTCAATAAACATCTATTGTTCAAAGATTTAAGTGTCTTCTAAACCCTACAGTGCTCACTGTCATTTCTTAAGTCAAAGGCCAACTTTATTTCTAAGTCAAGGTCTGCTTCATTTAGGCAAGTTCATTTTCATCAGGATCTTTAAGAGACATGTTTTAAACTTGAAGATTCCAAAAGATTTCCTTCTGAAATTAAGGCTATATTACTTTTGCCCTTTTAAATTGTGGAGGTGCCTGTTCCTCCCACTTCTACGATAAAGGAGTCTAACAGACCCAGCTTTCCTCTAAACCCGCTTCTTACACTACAAGATAGCAAAAACAGTCATATTTTAAGATATTTCTACAAAAGATGTTGCCACTTTGTTCTATAATTATTAAAGCACTATTCTACTAAATATAAAAGAAAAGGAAGCTATATTTCAAAACACATACATACATGTTTATATACACGCAGGTATATAAAAGTATATATATGAAAATCACATTAAGGTATGAGAGGCAGCAAGTAAACCAGCAAACAACCCAGCACAATCCAACCGCCTCTTCCCTCCTCTCCACCCAACTTCAGAGGCCTCAGCACTACAGTTTTTATCTTTTACAATACTGACTCTTTGTAAAAGCTTTTAAGATATTTCTACGAATAACCCATAGAAATAGGAGGCTTTAGAATACATATAGCGTATCAGAAAGAGTTACAACTTCTGACAAGGTTTTACAGCAGCTTTAGCAAACTCGCTAAAGTAAAAGAAAAGTTTATGCTGCTACTGTATATATATAAATTGCACAAATGGCAAATGTAAGTTCTCAACAGACTGACAGACACATGCTCACAAAAATGTATATAGAACATGATTTTGTTCCTAATGAAAGCAATATCTAGTAGAGGCCTCAGACGGTAGATGAGACAAGAGACAGTAGTCAGCAAAAACAAAGAAGTAGGGTGTGCAAAATAAAAACAAAATCTAGCTTGTCATGCTTCACATCCAAGTCAACCAGATGTAAGAACATCTGAATGCCCCTGGTAAGGCAGCATCTGAGAAGAAACTGGAGGCGATGAAGGCAAGGGAGGTAGAGGGAGAAATTAAAGTGGCGGTTGGGAGCGTAAAAGGAAAGAAAGTTCCCCGATGGAATGAATTACAAAAATATATACACAGACACATATATCTATTAGCATCCAGATCGAGATATATATGCATATGAAGTATGCATGTATATATTTAATAGATACAGACACTTTACAGGAATACACAAACGCACATTAATTTTTCTGCACACATAATTGCGAACAATCACTTTGATTATTCATGTAGGTGTGTCTGTGTATTTCAAACCCTCATTTACTTTGACTTAACTTTTTTTTTTTTTGCAAAGATAGTTGTGCTGCCAAGCAACTTGAGGTAAAGACATTTAAAGGATTTGACTACAGGAAGTGAACAACAAACCCATCGCGATACTTCCTACAGGAGACCGCACACGGAAAGCAGTTGGCTGGTTTCATATTGCATAATGGAGCTGTGTTCCTTGAAGTAAACACTTCCTTGTATCAACATAAGGATCAGACCCTGGTTGCTCCCTCCACCCCTCCCCTCCCCTCCCCAGTGTTGGTCTTTGCATGGCCGGAGGCATCCCCACTCAGCTGACCCCACTGGGAAGATGCATCCTGTATGTCCACTTCTCTTTCTGCTCTTCCTCTCAGAGAAGATAGCTGGACTTTCAAGCAAAGTACATTGTGCGTAAGGTATCTTGGTGAATCTGCACAGCCTTGGCAAGAGCCTGGGGGTCTCGCCCATTGCTCTGTCCTGAAACATGACTTCCTTCAGCACTGCAAGAGAAGTGACAATGAACACAAAACAAACTCAACGTGATGGAATAACGCTGTTGTACGAAATCTCAAAAGCATCAGAAAACAGAGATCAGTATAAAGATCTCCATGTGTCCATCACCCCGTTTGAATAATTATCCGTTCGAGGCCAGTTGTGCTTTTCTTCTTTCATCCCCCAGGATTATGTCGATGTAAATCTGAGACATCGCATTATTTTATCTGTGTGTACAAATATCACATTTATTTCCCAGAATTAAGTTGGTAATGCCAATAAACCTCTCCATAACAGCGCACACACACTTCAATGGACCCCTCGCTCCCGGCCAGCACCTCTGACTGCCATCACTGTCCATCCAAATCAGCAGCTTTCTAATGCTTGCGGAACTTCACTTCTGAATGGCAGGACTTCATAGCAAACAGGCACACACTTGTCTGAAAGTGCTTAGAAAATTCCTCAAGAAAATGTTATCTATTTCCACCCAGACCATTTTATCAGGATCTAACCCAGACATCATACTACCCCATAGTTCACCATATCAAGCAGTGTTGTACAATTGCTACCAAAATCAGTTTCAGAACACTTCTTCCTTCTCAAAGGCCTTGCTATCAGCTTCCCACCCCCAACCCCTCCCCTGCCGGACCTCCCAGGAACCCTTATCCTAGTCGTTGTCTCTACACAGTCACCAGCCTGGGTTTCATCTGCCACAAACAGAAGAACACAGAGCAGAAAGTCAAGAAGGCTGCTAACAATGACAAAATACTACGGAGATAAACCCCAATATGAAACAAACAAACACACCACACAGAAAATATAAAAAACCAGATCAAGTCCAAAGTGTATCAGAAGGGAGATCAAGTGAGATGGTTTCATAGAGACTACATTTGGACTGGTGAGATCTCTCGTGGTTAGGGCTTTTATATTACCTGTCATGTTCTTTGTCCACGAGATGGTATCTGGCTCTAAATGCCACCAGGTGAGCATAATACGCGGGCGCAGGTATAGAGACAGACCGTGTGCAGCGCACATAAGTGTGGCAGAGCTGGTAAGTTAACAGCTGAAGTTCATCCGCAGTGAAGCAGTTATCATCCCACAAAACATGGTAGTGTGAAGGACGGCTGGTACCCTGCAGAGAAGGGAAAGGCACATCCTACTGATCCCTAACGTCTTAAAGAAATAGTCAGTGCAGACTGAGTTGTATTAAAAAGGGTCAGCTTTGTACAGTAGCAACATATATTCTAATTTAAAAATCAATGTGAAAACATTTAGTTGAGCTCCTATGTTAGCAGCTGTTGTGCTAGGCATTATGAATTCAGAGTAAAACAAAGTCTAGAGTTTCCTGTCTTCTGATAACCACAACCTGGCAGAGGAAGGGAGGAGGGAGAAGTATCTCCAAGGATAAATCAATGAACAAATGGCTAAGCAAGATCAGCACCCACGACAATAAGCACGTGACGGCGAGCCGGTGGCTCCTTTATCAAGGTGGGGACAATGGAGTTTAAGTTTGAAAGATGAGCGAGAGTTTTTTTTTTGATGTCAGAATGAGAAGCTATCTGTTCCTACTTTTCAGTTTTCTTGATTGTATTTACACTGCTTTGTAAATCTATATTTGTGAGGTAACTTACTGACATGTACTCTTAAACAGAAAGAGGAAGCCACTGTGTTTCTCTGTTTATTCCACACGTCCAGTATGAATGACGACCTCTTGCGCCTGACTTACTTCACTTAGCATGATCTCCTCCAGCTCTTCCCATGCAGAGTGGGTTGGAAAGAGGGAACCGATTACAAGGAACTATATGTGACCTCCTCCCTGGGGGACGGACAACAGAAAATTGGGTGAAGGGAGACGTCGGACAGGGCAAGATATGACAAAATAATCATTTATAAATTATCAAGGGCTCATGAGGGATTAGGGAGCGGGGAGGGAGGGAAAAATGAGGACCTAATGCCGGGGCTTAAGTGGAGAGCAAATGTTTTGAGAATGATGAGGGCAATGAATGTACAAATGCACTTTACACAATTGATGTATGCATGGATTGTGATAAGAGTTGTATGAGCCCCTAATGAAACGATTAAATAAAAAAAAATTCTATATAAGTACTATTAAAAAAAAAAAGAAAACGATGGTGGCAACAACTGTACGACGATGCTTGATCTAATGAATTATGGATTGTTATAATACCCCCTAAGAGCTCCTAACAAAGTAAAATTTTTACAAAGGAAAAAACAAAGCTTCTATGAGAAAAATATATAAAAATGAAGGAATTATCAAAAGAAGATGGAATGAACACACAAAGTCACTGTACCAAAAAGACAGTCATCCTGGGAAACTGAGGACCGGGAGGAGAGTGTATGTGGGCAAATTAAGCAGCCGGGGAGGCCAGGGTTCTGGGGGGAGGGAGGCCCACACATTTGTGAGTTGGGGATGAGTCCCAGTCACATTCTCCTAATTAGAAATTATCCCCACAATATCCTCCCATTATAGTGCTACCTTAATGTTATCCCTTACAAGCACACAGCTGATTGCTACCTGGACAGCAGTTTCTCTACAGGAGCAGCCACTGAGGGGACAGTCACTCCCCTTACCTGTCCCCACCACTGGTGTTAGGTTACTCCCCAAGGAGTTCAGGGACCTGTTGTGTTAGGACACTGGCCACCTTGTTATGTATATATGTAGTTATCTAGGTATGGAGCTATCTGTGGTTGGGGTGGCTTGCATGTTCCAAGACTATGTAAGTTGGTGAAAGAATATACTCTTTCTCTTTCCCATTCGGACCTGGTTCCTGATACCATGGAGGAGGGAAGCACCACAAAACTTTTGACTGCCTCTTAATTTCCTTTCAATTACACAACTGTCCCTTAAGACCCATGGATGTGGACTGGATCTCACACACATCCAACCATTTCAAGAAGCAACATTTGATGAACAACTATGGTACTGAAGGAGTTCAAGCTGTACTAAAAGCATTAGCCAAAAACAAAGCTCCAGGATTTGATGGAGTACCAATTGGAGTGCATCAACAATGCGATGAAGCATTGGAAGCACGCACTTGGCTAAGCCAGGGAATTTGGGAGACCAGTACTTGGCCAACCGACTGCACTTGATCTTAGCCAAAAGTCCCAGAAGCGCTACTTGGCCAACTGACTGGAAGAGATGCATGTCTGTAGCCATTCCAAAGAAAGTAGCCCAACAATATGCAATTATTGATAGCCCACAAAAGTAAAATTTTGATGAAGATCAACCAACAATCGGCAAGGATCTGCCAGAGGCTCAGGCCAGAATGCGAAGAGGACACAGAACCAGGGATACCACTGCTGATGTCAGATGGACTTGGCTGAAAGCAGAGACTACCAGAAAGATGTTTCCTTGTGTTTCACTGACTATGCCAAGGCATTTGACTGCGTGGATCACAGCAAATTATGACTAGCCTTGAAAAGGCTGGGAATTCCAGAACACTTAATTGTTCTCCCGTGGAACCTATATATGAATCAAGAGGCAGTTGTACAAACAGAACAAGGGAACTGCATGGCTTAACATCAGGGAAGGTGTGCATTCTTCATTCCTTGGTACAAATGGGAGAAATGTTTGCTTAAAATATGTACTCCAGTGGTTTAGGCTCAATCTTTTTTTATTTTTTAACATTTTATTAGGGGCTCATACAACTGTTATCGCAATCCATACACACATCAATTGTGTAAAGCGCATTTGTACATCATTCTCAAAACATTTTCTCTCCACTTAAACCCCCGACATTAGGTCCTCATTTTTCCCTTCCCTCCCCGCTCCCCATTCCTGCATGAGCCCTTGATGGTTTATAAATTGGTATTTTGTCATATCTTGCCCTATCCGACGTCTCCCTTCACCCACTTTTCGGTTGTCTGTCCCCCAGGGAGGAGGTCACATATAGTTCCTTATAATCGGTTCCCTCTTTCCTACCCATTCTCCCTTTACCCTCCCTGTTTTGCCACTCACACCACTGGTCCTGTAGGGCTCATCCGCCCTGGATTCCCTGTATTTTCAGTTCCTATCTGTACCAGTGTACCTCCTCTGGTCTAGCCAGACTTGCAAGGTCGAATTCGAGTCATGGTAGTGGGAGCGGGGAGGAAACATTTAGGAACTAGAGGAAAGTTGTATTTCTCATCGTTGTTACATCACACCCTGACTGGCTCATCTCCTCCCCGACACCCCTCTGCAAGGGGATCGCCAGTGGCCTACTAATGGGCTTTGGATCTCCACTCCGCACTCCCCACATCATTCACTATGGTAAGATTTTTTGTTCTGATGATGCCTTATACCTGATCCCTTCGACACCTCGTGGTTGCATAGGCTGGTGTGCTTCTTCCATGTGGGCTTTGTTGCTTCTGAGCTTGATGGCCGCTTGATTACCTTCAAGCCTTTAAGACCCCAGATGCTATACTTTTTGATAGCCGGGCACCATCAGCTTTCTTTGCCACATTTGCTTATGCATAGGCTCAATCTTTAAAAGGCGCTATTAACTTCATTTTTCTGACTGTTACCACGTACCTTGAAAATGGTAACATTATACGGGGCAATAGGTATCATAAAATGATAAATGAGTGAGAAAATAACTTAAATGATGAGTCTCAAACCAAAGTAGTGTATATGGTACATAAGGTACAGCTATAGACTAAGATACATTTTGCAGTAATTTTGATTTTGATCATTTACAAACAGCCTAAATTAATATGAACTGCATTCCCTCAGACATTCTGGGAATGTGGTATACGAGGGGGTACCCACTCCAAAAACAAAACAAAACAAAACACAACAACCCGGAATTGTTTCCCCTCAAAGCTATGTATTTAAATTTGTTTTACAAAACTACCTTATCACCTTCAAAGAACTCTCCATTACACTTAATACGTTTGTCAATTCTGCAATTCCTTATTGGAAATATTTTCCAAACTCATCTGTTTGTATGGCTGGCAGCACCTCCCTCGTTTTTTTCTTCACCTCTTGTAAGTCTTTTAAGTCCTTTCATGTCCCTCTTCATTTGCAGAAACAAAAAGAAGTCACATGGAGTGAGGTCAGGTGAATACGGTATGTGCGGCAAGAGAAGCATGCTGTTTTTGTCAAAAACTGATGCACCAAGATGGCTGCATGAGCAGGTACATTGTCCTGGTGGCAAAATCAGTCCCCTGTTATGCAATATTTTGAGAACCTCTGAATAGAAAGCTTGATTACCAGTCTGACCTGGTGGAATGAATACATTACAAGTTGACATTTTAGTCCATGGGGGAAGGTGACGGATGTCCAGAATAAGGTTTGTCATCAATCGACATTTCACTTTTTTGAAATAAGAAAACCACTTGTACACTTGAGTTTTTCCCATAGTGCTGTCCTTGTAAGCTGTGTTCAACATCACAACAATTTTTGCGGCATTTTTCCCTAGTAGGAAACAAAATTTCACAGCCACACACTGTTCTCTTAAATCAGTGGTTCTCAACTTTCCTAATGCTGTGACTCTTTAATACAGTTCCTCATGTTGTGGTGACCTCCCAAGCATAAAATTATTTACGTTGCTACTTCTTGACTGTAATTTTGCTACTGTTATGAATTCTCATGTAAATATCTGATATGCAGGATGTATTTTCATTGTTACAAGTTGAACATAATTACAGCATAGTGATTAATCACAAAAACAATATGTAATTATATATTGTGAAATATATATTTCTAATGACAAATACATGAAATTTTGTCTTGAAACATGGTGCACCATGGGTAACAGTCTTCATGCCAGGTACTCATACGTGGACATAGCTGCATGTGGGTTGACCCGCCTGGAGACGGATGGAGGAGCCGTGTCTTGGTTCCTAAGACCATCAGAAAGATGTGTTTTCCGATGGTCTTAGGCAACCCTTGTGAAAGGGGTTCAACCCACAGGTTGAAAACCGCTGTCTTAAATCAATCATCACAAAAAATGAGGTTTGAGTGAAACTGCTTTTACAAAAAAATTCCCTGTGATCAGAGAGAAGCTTCCCAGACAATGCCACTGGGTGCACTAACTCAGCGTGAGTTGCTCCAGGCTTGCCTATCAGGGAAAATGCTACTCTGAAAGCTCCTCTGTGCCCAGTGCAATTCCGGTTTCTCTGGGGTATCCCCTCATACTTTCTGCTGTTGGAAAATTTGAGATATATTTAATGAAAGCACTTGTTCTATAAAGACAAGAAAGAAAGAAAAAGATTTTCTGGAGCACTTAAGAAAAGAATAAGAAAAGATCAAGTTGCAATTCTAAAATTAAATTATCTCATATGCTTAATATTTGTCAGTCAATGTCAAAGTTTTCTATGAACTACTATTGTATGAACTACTATACTATTCCTATAGGTCAAAGGAAGTATTAGGTGCTGTAGAAAACTTACGTTTTAGGGTTAAATTAAGGATTCATATTAGGGAAATTCTTTGTATTATGCACTAACTTATATTTTAGTATTTTCATAGAAATAAGCACCTCTCAAGTAACAGAGAGAGAATTTTAACTTATTTAAAAGTTTCACCTAACTTCACGTGGAAATGAATTAGAAGGCAAAAAAGGGAGAACATTTCTGTCTCCTTCTTTAGAGATTTTAAAAGTAGACACAATGAGGAAAGTTTCTGAGTTAAAATATTTCACCTACTGTCCAGACTTACCTGTATTCCAGCATGGCTGCAGAGGTAGAAATCAAACTCATACGGGTGTGTAATGTCTGTGTCCACCGTCGTCCCAGCTGGAATGTTGCCACTCCTACCGACCTGGGATTGTTGGGTCAAACAAGCCAACAATAAAGAATGCACCCAAAAATATTTTTTAAAATATACAAATAAAAACGGTCCTCACATTTCCACTACTTTCAGGCAAGTATTAAGATCAGAACACATTCAAGTCTTGGTACCTATTCTTTTCAGTTTTAAAAATGCTTCTTTTACTTTTAGTTGCATGTCATTTCTGCTGAACTTATTCCTGAAAGTTTTCACTGCCTTCTGAGGTTTCCTTCCTTGCCAGCTTCTCCTGTGGTGGGAGCGGTGAATCCCTCTTCTTCAGCAGCCCCTGCATGGCAGGGCTCCTTCGGCCAAGAGCTCTTTGCAAGCAAGGAGGCACAGTTTGGGGCCTTTGGGCACCTGGCTATGCTTAGTGTGACCAGAGAATCCACATCTAAACATAATTAACATATTAAAAAAACTATATGTTATTTGGAGGCAGAGAAACACCTAGGTTCATATTCTAATTCTACCACATAATAATTGTGTAATTTTTAGAGCAAGGTATCAAACCTCTTTCTGTCACTGTTTTCTCATCTATACTTATATCCTTCCTATAATTAGTAGCAGGAGCCCTGGTGATGCTGTGGGTTAGGCATTGGGCTGCTAACTGCAAGGTTGGCAGTTCAAAACCACTAGCTGCTCCATGGGAGTAAAATGAGGCTGCCTGCTCCCATAAAGATATCCAAAGGAGCAATACTATTCTGTCTTACAGGATCCTTATGAATCATAATTGACTTGATGGCAGTGGGCATTATTAATAGTATTATCTAGAACATGGGTGAAAAAAATCAAATAAAAGAAGGATTGGCATGACTAAATGTCAAATACAAATAAAGATTAAATGTAATTTAGATTTTTCTAATCCTGCTTTTGAAGAAAGCTTGGTACAGAAATGTACTTAGAAATCTGAGGTCAAAGGCCGTTCACAAACTGGAGACCATAATAAAACTCTTAACTATTGCTTTTAGAAGGGTGGGGTGTTGTAATGGTTAAAAGCACTTTTGTGCCAGACTGCCAGAATTTGAATCGTAGCACTACCAACGACCAGCTTAGTAGCCTTGGCTAGGTAGTTTAACTTCCAAAGGTCATAATTTCCTCAGGTGTAAATTGGGCATGATAATAACTACTTAAATGTCATTAAAGATTAATTAAGTTTATGAAAAATACTCGGTGTCTATTATTTCCTCTTCATCACCACAACCAGCTAACCTTTACTGAGTACGGACTGTGTACCGCGGACCACATGTGGCTCGCCGAGGACATTTATCCGGCCCGCTGGGTGTTCTTGTCCCGTTTGTTTCTTTTACTTCAAAATAAGATATGTGCAGTGTGCATAGGAATCTGTTCATAGTTTTTTTAAACTATAGTCTGGCCCTCCATCGGGTCTGAGGGTCAGTGAACTGGCCCCCTGTTTAACAAGTTTGAGGACCCCTGCCTTAGAGTTTCCCGTTTCTATGTCTGCAGGCCAGCTCAGGGACTGCTACCTCTCCCATGCTGCACACAGACAGCAAGATCTATTTCCCCAGAGATTTTATATCTCCTTTCCCTCC